CAGAAAGGAGAGCTGGAGTCTTAAGCAAACCGAATAGGTATTAGCGGTGAACGATTCCTTCATTCGTAAAACTGATGGTCGCCATATTCAACGGATAAAGAATGTCAGTGAATGTCATCAAGGAAACATGAAGCTGCTTCCTTAGGCATTTCTGACGCACTAACACTTGGCACTCAAAAATAAAATTGGCCTTTTATTTCGATGAAACAATAGAAGTCTTGGAATACTTTTGTTCGTTTAAACATGCACGTATATTTTCTCCTCTGATTCCTTCAAAATTGATTTTGTATTATCAAAGAGAAATGTATCGCTCAGATATCACAAATGGTGGAGGGACGCTCGCCGATCGTTCTTACGGAACTCACTCGTTCCGCTTTGCCTTACGAGTCTCTCTAGAGCTCAGCCAATAGCCGCACGGCAGGGCATGATAGTGGCAGAATTTTATGCCCGATAAAGACAACGGAGACTGTGTTGGCTATTTCTGGCTTATTAGCCGTCAACAGCCACTCCTACCCAAACCCAGTGTGGAACGCCTGGGGCTCGACCTGTTAGTAATTAGTCCAACGCCTCTGCCTATGCGTGCGCCGCTGTGCGGCTGCTGGTTGGGCACGAGAGAGAGCCCAAACGGCTCATCGGAATGGTATGCGTCCATTTCTGCTTGAATAAATACCCGATCTGCAGCGACGGAGAATGACAAGTGGCGAGGAACTGATGAACTTCGGTTTGATGAAGTGCTTATGACCCACCTGGTAGACCCCAGTGGTGGATCAACTGCGACAGGTGCGTCTGTGCGCATGTTTGTGTTTCTGGTACCAGCTGTTGGTCGGGGTCATGATTGGCAGAATTAAGGCACAATAAGCTCGAAACAGTACTATATCAATCTGCGCACATTTTTATCGTCCCTCCTTGCTGCTATATATATATATCCCAGTAACATGGGTCAAACCGCCTCGCCAATCCGCTTTAAGGTTCGTTCTTGCGTTTAGTCAGCTGGCATTTTACCTGCATTTTTCGCCGAATCCCTCGGGATTTCCATTGATTTTCAAAATCTTTTGGGAAATTTTATTTGGACATTTATCGGAGACTCAAAATAAAACAACTGACTGCCAAACACTCGAATTGCTTTTGAATTACCTTGTAGTGATCTTGCTAAAATGTGTCCCATGCACGCCACAAGCATCAGGCCAGGTACGCATTAGCTAGGTAAGGGACAATTTTGCGTCAGGGTGACGATTTGCAGTCTCAGGTGGCGTTGATCGCTGGCATGGCCGAGTTTCATGCTGACAATGCCACATTATTTTTGCTATTGTATGAAAATGCGCTGTCTGTTGCTTTTATGGCGGTCTGAGCACGTTCACCTGCTTGCATCAAAGACGTGTACTATAGCAGTCGGTTAGACTGTAGAGTCAGCGGTGCTGAAATCGCTTGCAGAGAAGGCGAATAGTTTGGACACTGCGGAGCGCCGGACACCGCCACGAAGACTGTCGGCTACAGCTCTCTGTCAGACAGAAAATGAAGCGAGGTTTCTAAACACGATGCAGCTGGTGAACTAAATGATTTAGTGCGGCGAACACGCAGGTTGAAGGACGTGCGTCCCTTGTGAAAGTGAATGCTTGTGTAAGCGGCGTGATGAATGTCACGACCTATGCAGAAGTGCAACCGTCAAAAGGTGTACCGACCTGACCTTGAAAAAGGTTGCTGGCGAGTTGGCATGTAGAAATGAGGGTCTAGGACGCTTCCGTTTCAGCTCGCGTAGGTTTTTGTTGTCCGAACATGAAAATTGAAGAGCACTGAGGCATACAAAGATTGCAGTTCCACCGACGTAGGCGCTATAGTATTACGATTGCATGAAATTAGCTTACGAGCGACAGCTGCGGTGAAAGTTCGGATGAACGTTTTGATGTTCAACTCTAGCACATTTAGACGGCTGTGTCGCCCAGCTTTCTGATGCCATCCACCTTGCTTAAATGTGTGGAAAATAACGTTTTTAAGTACCTCGTCCCTGCTAGTGACGCGGGAGGAATGGCCGAATATATGCATGTTTAAATTCCGTGAAGAGTGAACGCAGCCACCTACACAGTTGCGTTTCGAGCATGTCGGGATTGTCAATGTAATTGGGATTCAGTGGGCAAGAGGCCTGAGTTACTGCCTTTATCAGCATTATTAAGACATGTATAAGAGGGGCTGGGAATATTGTACCGGGCTGTTTTAGTGGATAATCGTGGGCAGGTTTTAGTCGCATGCATTTGTTTTCTGCGCTATTTCAATGGAGTCTTGGTCACTCCAGTTGCATGTCATTAACCCCGCTGCATTTTAAGTCCAGCGCGTCTGTGCAATGCCCGAAGAGCGGACCAATAACCCTTCCACTGCACTGCACTGGACAAAGGCGATTGTCATTGAGAAAATAATCGTGGCCATTTTGTCGGCTTTTGTTGGTAGGTATCAAAACCTAATCTATTTCGGATCATTCCATTCCCTCTGATATCGTTCAATTTTTCTCCCTGTAGAGATTTTTTTGGGGTTACTTGAGATATCCTTTAGGAAATTTTCGTCTAACTGTTGTATTTATGATGTAGGTTAGACCTTACCTTGTCGCTTGGTGGTCTTATTGCAGCAGCCACCTGGTCGCTTCCGGAAAGGTCACTTAAGTAGCCTACGAGTTATTGTGATTCAACTGTGAAAGACTCGTTGCCTCGATGGGATTTGCACCCACGACAGTAAATGGAGGCTTTAATTCAGCCAACGCTTTAACCATCTGAGCTACGAGGCCCTACTGGACGATGCGAGTGTAATTACATTGGGTCAAGTTTACCCGCACAACTTACTGTAACGTCCTGAATCCACCAAATCTGATACAGTAGAAGGTCGGCTGTACTACAGCCTCTTCTTGCTGTTGTGGTTTCGGATCTCGCCGAGGCACCGACTTTTTCGCAGTTAGGTCAAAGTGAATTATTTGAATTCTGCCAAAGTACCTCAAAATAGCATCCGGTTGTTACAGATCGCTGACTTTAGGGAGTTGAATTGGAGCATCGTTCAAGAGAGTGTGATGTTTTTCCAAGTAGACTTGGGCTGACACCCTAGGTGATTTCTCCATACGACTGCCTAACGAGTGTACACAAAAAACAAGCGGATACAATCGAGAATCTCCCAGGCAATAGGCCAATTTTTGGCGGATATAACGGTCTTTCAAGGCTAATGTTTGGTTTCTCCCTTGCATTCTGCTGGTTGATATGAAAACATGCGGCTGCAAACGATTTCGCTTATCCCCACTGGATTTGCTTAGACCATTCCACCCAATCCATTACTTGACGCCTTTCTTCATCACGTTTTGTGGTCGGCGAATTGGAACATCTACACAACTGGGTTTATTACATTTATGCATAAACGGATATTCAGATTTTTCAGAGAGTTTATTTAAAATTTGGGTTCTGTGCTCTGAATATGGTAAATTATTTAGCATTTGTGAACTATGTACTGTCTGTTGACGGCTTTTGAAAATTGAGCAGTTCTTTCGCAGTTGCCGATGGATTTCGGTTCGAATACTAGTATATAAAATCTCGAACCGAGCCTAAAAGACTCTGTTCTCCAGGATTTACCCCTAAGTTCACCCAGTTATAACGTCACAACTTAAAAAAGGCAGTGTGGTTCGGCACTTGGAGTGACACGTGTCCCTATGCTTGTCAAATCGATTATTCTCAGCCGAACAGTGTTCCGCCCCATAAATTAAACAAGTGCCCATTTAAGCTCACTGTAAGACGGTCGAGTGGGACCGCTAGGTGGGACAGATTCCAGTGATTCATGCTTTCGAGAATGGACGTGTCCATCCAGCTATCCAACGCACCAATTCAAAGTCAGGCATTTTATTATGTGACGAGCAACATTTAAGTGCTTAATGCCTTTCATTACCTTATAGATCGGATCAGTGGGGTATGAGTACGAGCAAACTCATGAATTTTGCGGCTACACGTTTCACGCACGCTTTTTCGCCAGAGCCAGGATCCTGATTATTCTGTTACAAGTCCTCGCTGTATGCTGTCATTTCTGGACGCGCAGGATGGCCGGCAACTAATCTACCGCAACACTATCTGGCGGGTTCGCTTGTCCCACCATCTGCTAAGGTTATCCCCAGAGCCGACTGCAAACTGTGCATCTGCTTCTTCTTGTTACATAATCTACATGCTTTTCCACCGTTTCGATTCTTGTCACTTAGGAGCACAATGTGAATCGTTGTCAGATCAATTTGTTGCTAACTGAGCATTCATCTCACAACCACGCCTTTCAAGGTTGCCTTGCTGCGCAATAAGTATAAGCCAGGAGCATTAAGAAATCGCAAATCTTACCCTCTAAAGATGAGCATTCGAAGTCACTGATGCCTCGATAAGGCATTTAATTGGCCAATTTTAATAAATTTTGTTCGTTCAATTCGCTTCTCCATTGGCCTCCATGGCAAAAAAAGTCAACCGTTTAAATCGTTGAGATTTAGCCATTGACAGACTGTGATGCAGTTACAACGCGCAAAAAGATCATGCATGCTTCGCTGGAAAACACCGTGATCTTAAGCCCGAAAGATATAACTCGGCATTGCGCCGGCTAACAAAACAATCTCCTTAAGATAGAGTTATGCACGTTCTTGGGGTTTTTCCTAAAAAGTGCTTGCAAACATATATTTTAGGACTATTAGTGTTTCGTGCAAAATCTTATAAGCGACACGACCAGCAACACCGGCTACGGTCTCTACGCACTTCGCAAAGGGAAGAGGCCGCGGCTGGGTTATTCGTGAGTATTACAAGGCTAGCAGTAGTGAAACCTGAAGTCCGCCTTCACGTGGGCTTAACATGCGCGCATGACGCTTGAGCGTGCCAACACTTCAAACCAGTATGACCTTGAAATACCACACGGTTGTACATGCTTTCAATAGCACGCTCTTATCAAACTAGATAAATAGTCAGCTGCATCCACAGATTTGCAACGTTTCAGCCGACGAAAGTAAGCAAGAAGCGATGAGCAACGCGACTTCCCCAGTAAGCATTTACATACCACCACTCTCAGGTTTTTTTCTTTCTCGGTCGTGTGGAAAGCTTTCAAATCACGCTTATTTGCCTAGCTCTCTAAATCTTTATGATGATCTAGGGCACTCCTAAGTTTCACAACACTCCTTCTTAGCTATAGGCAGAAATGATGCTGATATATAAAGTGTTAAATATGGGGTCTTGTACACTTTTTGTGTCTCGACACACTGGCTGACACCACAATTATTTCGTTTTGTTTTAAATTTGGGTTTGATTTTTAACTCCTTGATTACAGCTAATTGATTCGCAAATGTGAATTTTCTTGTTCAAAATGTTATTTCTGCTATCGCCCTCATTTCAGGTGGCCATGAACAACGGTAGTTGCAGCAGTTCGTCGCCAAAGGAGAGAATACTTTTCTCGCCTAGACTGTTCTTCAGTTGTGAGGTCATTAATGGCCTTCTATTCATCTGCGCAATAATCCTGCTTGCCGTAGGAACTTACAACCTGCGTTTGTTGAACATGTGCTCAAAAGACTTTTCCCAGGGAGAAGGCGACGACTGCAGAAACAAAAGGTAAATCTGTCGCATCGATCAGGTGCAAATTAATTGTAACTGTTTATTTTATACTAGTAACAACTGCTGACGTCATAATTTCATGTATTATGTTTTGGTGATAGTTCAGGTTTCTAGGTTTATGATTTAAGTTAGTCAGCCGTGCATACCACATATTTTCAGCCCATCGTCCGCAGGATCTTATGCTATGATAGCCGTCGGATGCATACTGGTCGTCCTTTGCGCCATTCTAATTGGCGTTATGTTGATCCTCTCCAAGGAAACATCAAAATATGTTCGACAACTCACCAACCGACTTCCGGTAAGGCATGCACCTTTATGTAATGTTGCAGCCTTTCCTGACATGCGTCAACTAAATGGGCTATTTAATACTGCTTTCAGATTGTGTACCTCGACTAAAATGACCAGTTTTCATTTCTTATCTCCGTATAAATAAAGAGACTTTCATTAGCGTAGACCGGCGTTTAGGTGTCATTGGATGATTTCGTGTGAATTACTTCTTCAGCCCTATAAACATCATAGATTCCATCCATTTTTGACCGAGTGCGTAGGTTTGTTAAGATGCGCATTCCAATACCCGTATTGGCACGCCAGTTTTAGTGTGTCAAGGAATAAACGAATATGTCCTAACAAAGGACGCTTGATCAGGAATTTTGTGCACAATATGTTTTTGCCCACGCGTCTGCTGACAACACCCTCTGAATTCCCTTAACAATCAAAATCTGCCTTCAATTAAAATGCCCTTTTTCTTGTCAACTAGACTTACGAGGAAGCTGTCCAGTCTGTGAGTTCTGGTGAGACATGGATGGATGATGTTTGGACCGTGTGATCTACGACTGACGATCATGATCGTAGACAGAGCAGCGCATTTACTCCTTCACTGCAATATTTACAGGAGTCAATGTTTTAAAGGAACATTGCCTCCACTAAAACATTTCATGCATTTATATTCCCAATAAACAGTCTTTTATAGAAAACTGAGCTGTTACTTCTTATGTTTAATGAGGTTATCTGTTATTCAACATTAATTTAGAGACATTTTAGGCCTTAATTTTGGTCAATGATATTTTAAAAAAGACTGATATGAACTAAAGTACGAAGTTGAGTCTCTTTAGGCTAGTAAGAGCAGCACTTCGACAAAATCTGAAAAAGATGGTATTCTGAGCCACACTACACATTTGAGTCTAAGTCACTAAAACCAACTCTCAAAAATGAAACCGAATTCTCGGTCGAAAAGTGTCAATCTTTAAAGAAAATGAAATAGTCGAGGAAGGCCGAGTACTAGAAATCATTGTTCTTCTTAAGCTCATAATTAGATCTCCAGTTATTGAACTTGTATTAGAACTGATTTAGGACGGAAAATTAATTAAAAATGGCTATTTCGATTCTGCATATTTCAGCAATAATCCTGAAGAAAGTTGCAGGTTACTTCTGAATGCAGGTAAAACAAGTACGTTGGGCAATACTCTAACCACATTGGACGTGAACAGATCAGTGGCAAAATCGCATTAAAATTTGATTTAGTTTCACTATAAAAATAATGGAAGACAGTAAAGATGCACAGTTCGGAGCAGTTATTAAAGTATACCAGTATACTATGCGCCACAAAAGTGGTTACGTAATTCATGGGTTTATTTTAACGTTTCCATTCAGCTGATGGTGGGCGGATTAATTCCTGCTCCGCATAATCGCATTCCATTAAAGGCGTATTGTTCAATCTATGAAAGTTATTGCTAACGGGAACAAGCAATAACTCGCAAAGCGAACACACAAACGAGGCTTCTAGATGCCAACACCAATTAATCAATAATCCGACCGGTCTCTCGACAGGGACTAATGTCGATATTGTGACAAAGATTTCTCGTACCCCCAATTACGCGAACGCGTGATTCTTGCAGAGAATAGGAACACCTCCAAGAGAGGCAGGAATTGGTGAATTAAACGTCCTTGTGAGTGCAGCGACACTGTTCTACAGACGCTGCAGCTCTGTCCTTATGGCAAGTTTTTCTGTTGTGCAATCCATTGCTAGATGTGTTTGCACGTCCAGACACAATGACACGATATATTAGTCCTTTTTGGCAAACAATTACATCTTTGACTTTGGCGTTCAGTTGGTTCCGTCCGTACATTTGCTGATTGCGATCATGTATGCAGTTGAGGCGAATTCACAAAAGACGTTCTAATAATTCCTCTGGAAATTCAAGACGGCAACGGTGAGTCGCGGTTGGGTCTCTGTAGCTCCTATCTATTTGTTTATGCATGTGTTTTACATCTCGGTTTATTGCCTCGTATCACTTCAACTACGTGGCCTTCTACATTTATACCCATGATCCAAATGTGCACAGACTTTGGTTAATTTACTTAGTGCTGCCGGTCTATGCATATCTCGCCCATTTCTACCTCGCATCCATACAGAAGAAATGAAGTTTAAATAGTTGAGCGTTTTCCCAACTAAGAACCGTCAGACCTGCACTTCACACCCATGTAGCCCCACAACCGTTAGCCCCCATTACCTTCAGATTAATCACTTCTATGTGTTCGTGACACAGAATGCATTGGTTACGCTTATATATGGCCTACTGTCAGTGATTAGGGGTAAGTACGCATCCTGTGACATGAAGCGGGTTGAATGGTTAAACACGGCACCTTGTTGCTAATCTAACAGGCAGCGCTTACCATGGACTTGCATGTCTTCTGACAGTTTATTACTTTCCAGATTGTCTTCATCAAAACCCGAAGTCATATGTCTCGTTCACTGGAACTCAACGGCAGTCACGTCAATGACAGAGTTGTGAAAATACCCATAGTTATATTCAGAAGGAATTTTGGCGAGCGAAAGTTGCCTTCGATAACTTCTCGTCAGGCCAGTACAGTTTAGCACGTATTCTATCATCATCGCCCTGATTCCATGGCTGCATGTTTGTGTACTGGTGCAGCTTACAGGCCGTTCGTGTCTACTTGCGGACTTCTTAGTCGATTTTCACTTCTCCAAAATGCTTTTGATATTTGCATGCTTAGGAAGGCGGACTTTTCTAACCTAACATCTGCATGAAAGCTGTCGTCACTCAATATCACGCTTGCATTCTGTGTTCTGCTTCTGAAATTCAACCTGAATTAATTTTTAATCGAAGCTGATTCAGTTCGCGGCTGCGATGTCCCAAAACGCATAGATTTAACATTACCAATCCCGATGGTTTGGTCTCTGATATCTTTTGGACTACATCCAAACAGAGCACTGACTCATGGAAGATGAAGGAAACAATATTATGTGTGAGATTAGTATTGTGTTATCCTGTCTCATTGAAAATCAGCTTATTCCTCAGTGCAGCAAATTTAAAGAGAGTGTGTTTAACGCTCGTGACTTGAAGGACCGGCGGCCGAGAGAGCAATTTAACCCCCCCCTCTAAATTGTTGATCCGGTCACCACGTCCCTCAATTTAGGCTCAGTCGCGGTTGGTTCTCCGCAGCTCCTATTTATCTGTTGATACGTGTGTTTTACGCCCCGATTTACTGTCTCGAATCACTTTGATTAGGTGGCCTTCTCCATTAATACCCATGACACAATTTTTTTGGGTAATCTACTTAATGCTGCCGGTCTATGCATATCGCGCCACATTCTATCCCCCATATCCATCTCGCCGAATCGACGTCAAAATATACCGGCAGTTTCCCTACCACATGTTGTCAGAAAAAACCTTGAACTTCATGACCAGGTAGGTATAACGTGTCTGCCACCATAACCTTGAGACTACTCACTCTTACGAGTGCGTGACAGAAGGAATTGGTTACATTTACACTAATTGCTTATCACGCATCCTGTGGTATGAATCATGCAGAATGCATAAAGGTCGAAACCTTTCTCCCTCACACAGCACCATGTTGATAATCTAACAGACAGCGCTACCATGAACTTTCATATCATCTGACTGATTATTGTTTTCCTGATCAACTTGATCAAAACCTGACGTCACCTGTCTCGTTTCCTGGAACTCGACGGCACTCACAACAATGACAGCAGTTTGGTGTTTAGCACGTATTCTCACATCATTTCCTGAACCCATGGCGGCGTGTTTGTGTACTGAAGCAGTTTACGGGCCGTTCTTGTCTTCTTCCGGAATCCTTAGTCCATATGTCCTTCTCTAAAGTGCTTCTGGGATTTTTCATTTTGGGAAGTTGAAGCTTCACAACTTAATACCTGCACGAAAGCTGTAATCACACAATATCACGCTTGCATTCTGTGTTCTTCTTTTGAAATTTAAACTAAATAAGTTTTTAATCAAAGCTGATTTAGTTCACGATTGCGATGCCCCAAAAGACATAGATTTAACATAACTAAACCCGATGGTTTGTTCTCTGATATCTTTTGGAATATATCCAAACAATCGGAATTTTTTGGCGCTAGTGAGCAAAACCTCCGTATACTCGAGGCGATTGTTGCCTGAAGCCCTCAATATAACTTAGAAATGGCTGAAATACTTTCAACAAAACATGCGGACTTGTCTCCTCTGCACATCCTTCACGTATTCTGCCTGTATCTAGTAAGAGCACAGCGACGTACGACGCCGGCTGCTTTCCGGATTTCTTTTCAAGTATGACGAACAAATATGCGCGTTTAACTTGACGGAATGACCCAATGGATGAAGTGTTGGCTTTTCACATTGACCGACATGCATTGTCACCCACTACATCTTCTGACAATGTGGGTACTATTCTCCACTTGAGAGTCTGCGTATTTCCTTCTTTACCTCTCTTTTACCAAATAATATCTCCTCTTTTCCTCGATAGAGGATTTGCACTTCTCGTCGGTACTAGTGAGGGCGGAATAGCCTTCACTGAAATCCGCCAAATTGACTGTCCTCTGGAGCACAGAGAGCTTTTTTTGCCAATCCCACCCCAGAAAGGGTAAAGGTTGAAGGTGGTGTCCCATAGGGTTCTGTTTTAGGCTCACTACTCCTCCTGACTTATGTGGGTGATCGGAAGAAGGAATTTGACTGTGAGGCTGTCATATATATGGACTGAAGTCAACGGAGATGACGATGCAAAAGTTTTGCAATCCAACATCATCATGAACCTGTTCAAGCGCGCGTTCCTGTAGCATATTGCGGGCTGACTAATCCTAGAAAGGGTGGTATTTTGTTGACCGCATTACAATAAAGGATGCTCAAACTCATATAGACGATCATTAATTTCATGGCATCAGCTCATGGTTAGGAATTGGTTTATAAGGCAGCACGAATTTTGCACTGGAATCGTCGGCGACCTCGCTATGGGCTTTCTGGATTATGGGGCGCCAGTCGGAACACTGATAATGGGGAAAGGCGCTGACCTTCTCGAGTAGGTGCAACGCAGGGCAACTAAGTTATTTGACGGTCCTTCGAGAGAGAGAGAGAGAGAGACAGAGAGAGCTTGATGTTTCCCCCTTTTTACATGCAAATAATGTGTAGTCTGCTCCGGAGGTTCCTGGCGCCGTGGCCGACATTGCTCGCTGAGATCGCACGACGTCTATCAGCCTACGTGCACTTTTCGCGTACGAGGTCGTTCGTGCAAGTTCGGAAACGGACGCACGCAATTAGATCTCAGAAAGTGTTTGTCCAACCAATAAGTTGGTCGACCTTGAAACTCGCCACTAGGGTAATGGTGATAACCGAGACTATGCTGATATCAAGGCAGAGGTCGGATCCAGGCTTTTCACCAAAATCGTATTTTACAACTTTATTACTTACAGGTTGCCTTATAAAACGCTTAATGATCTACTCTTTCTCTCTGCAGATTCGCATTAGACAGCAAAACTTTTTTTATTTTGACTGTACCTTAACGTGATCTACACTG